ATATCGCGCTTATACAACTTTCTGTAGGAAAGGAAGCACACATCAGTCCTCAGCCAAAATGAGGGGAGAGAAGCTACAATTACCCAGTTCTAGAAGCAAAAGATGTCAAGTGTCAAGTTCCTCGTGGTCATTCTGGGACAGAGAGAAAGCAGCTTAATGCATTCACAATGGGACCATAATTCATATGTCTTGCTACTGGGTAGCTTGAACTACCAGTGGAACATGCATGACTATCCCATTAGGCAGCTCTTTATTAATTTTATTAGTAAAAATACCAATAAAAATGATTAGATATGTCTGTACCAGAGGGATACTCATGCATGTGCAAACAGTGATTCAAGCCTGCAGGAACATGCAAAGCCCAGACAGGAAAAAAAAATCAGACTGACTGTGCCCAAGGCTGACTCTACTATAATGTAAAATGTGACATAAAGTACAACAGATCACAGAAACTCTTTTCCTAAACTGAGGGCTCAGGTGAAATTCCATCATGGATGGTACAGTTAGGCTGTCACAATGCACCAAATGTCAGTAGCAATGGCAAGGGGTCTGTGGTCACTATTTGTTACCAGGCCTATTCTCAAACCCTCAGCAGACCCGAGAGCCACAAGTCACAAACACTACTCTCAGTGTGGATGAAAAGTCCAGGCAGTTTTTGAGGCAATGACTTGCAGGCTTCTGCTTATGCCTGTGACCTAGATCACAGGTCCAGGAAAAGCTGTGTAGATCATATCCTTCAAGCTTTCTCCTTTCATCTCTACTGCACATTCTTCAAAGAGCAACCCCTCTCCCTGATAGTCTAGGCCTTCTGCAACTGTACGGCACTGATATCTTCCCCAAATAAAGAAGACACTGACAGCCAAAAATGCAGGACCTCATCAAAAAGAAATACAGCTGATGGGCCGGGGATTTAGCTCAGTGGCGTGTTTTGCAAGCGCAAGGACCCAAGTTCAATCCCCGGTACCAAAAAAGAAAAAGAAATAACACAGAGATAATACAACACAGAGAGAGAGAGAGAGAGAGAGAGAGAGAGAGAGAGAGAGAGAGAGAGAACTGTCCTGATTATAAACAGACTGCAGTCACGATGACCAGAGAACAGGAGTCAGGAGATCTATAGGAGATCTATGAGGGTCTACCTTAACAGGATCATAAGGTACATTCAATAGGTAATTTACTAACCAGGGCCTTAATAAGTGCAGATGCTCAAGAGGGAAGCGCTTGGCTTCAAATGACAGTCTAAGTGAATAAACTGGGTAAAGATCATGGTATAAGACTGTCCATAATGAGTTGCTAAATGATAGGCTCTTTCTGGGAATTTAAAAACCATGAGCTTTAATAGTCCTAGAAGGTGTTTTAGAGTAAGAGGGGTCTGAAGGATAGCAGAAATTTAGAGTGGCATTTACAGAATGAAGGACCAGTGTGGAAATCAGTTCGGCTAGGATTGAGGGTTCAGGGAAATATTCAGTTAGCAATAAAATGGAAAAGTTAGACTAGCATCAAATGAAGTAAAGACTACAATTTGCTCTGTTAACAAGTTTTGAAATCTACCTTGCCTAGAAGTAAAGAGAAAGCCCTGCTTGGAAATACAAGGAAAGCCAAGACCCATTCTAGGAAATTTAAAGTTAGTGCAGGTGAAGAGTGAAAAAGGAATAAAGACTAAAATAAGGCAGTGCCTCTCATGATGCAGGAGAGGAGCAGCCAGCCAGAGCTTAGAATTAGCCATGCTGTCACCACCGCAGCAAGAGAACACAACCTTACTTCCATGTGTCATGCTGTTAGGCTGGGATGTTCAGCAGGTTAGGTGAATTAAAATGCACTTTAAACCACCACCTGCCTTGTAAGGCACTTCAATCCCTGGTACCAAAATAAATAAAGCAGTGCAGAAAAAAGAAAAAATGAAATGATGTGAGGCAGAAGCTAAGGACTGAAAATCTGTATATAAGAAGTAAAACAAAGCAAAAAGTCAAAATTGACTCCAAACTTGCAATGTAGGTGAGGAGTGGAGGGAGGATGTCTAGAGAGAACACTCATGGCATTAACAAAACTGGAGAGAGAGGCAGTTATGGTCAATACACTATGGAACTTGCTTTTGTTCTCTCTGAGCTACAGCTAAGACATTGAAGTGGAAATAAATGCAGGACTACAGCTCAGAAGAATCGTCACAGCTGGAAGCTTCAGAAACAGGAGTCATCTGCTAAGAGATGACAAGAGTCATGAGAATGGGTAAGATCACAGGGGGGTAGGGAAAAGAGCCAAAGAAAAGGCACCCATGCAGAACATGGAGTGGTCTATGAAAGCCAACATCCCAAAAGAGTAAGAAAACAAAAGGAACAGGATGGGAACAGGTCATGGCAGCCATACAATGTCAGTTTCAAGATAAAGGGGACACTACATGTACTAGTCACTGCAGAAAGGTCAAGGTTTGGGCTCCCAATAACAGGAGCTACCTAACTTGTTCCTTTATAATATGTAGTTCATGAGTCCCATGAGTATCTGGCCCCCAAGCTGCAGAAAGTCTTAGGAGCTAACAGCAAGTCCCAGACACTAAGGAACATTCTGTCAAGATATATTCTCCAGCCAGGTGTGGTGGTGCACACCTGTAATCCCAGCACTCGGGAGGCTGAGGCAGGAGGATCGCTGTGAGTTTGAGACCAGCCTGGGCTACATAGTGAGTTCCAGGTTAGTCTCAACTACATAGTGAGATCCTGTCTCAAAAAGCCA